CAGGCAGATGAGGGAGTGATGTTAATTGGACTATCAGAGATCTATCACTTTATTATCACTTGTCTATCTGTCAATCATCCATCTATCAATCGATTTATTACCTATCTATTTATTTATCTATCTGTCTGACCTCTGTTTATCTACCCTATCATGTAACTGTCTATCTTTAGTGCCATGGCTTGGAAATACTGAATTTTCTTGAATTAGACATTTGATTCCACAGCCTGAGAACTGCCAATACATCTTCATGTTTCTGCCTGTGGTGGAGGCTGGGTACACAGGCAGCCAGTGTCTCCCCTCCTCTTGTAGTTGGGTGTGGCTATGTCTGTGCTGGGGAGGAGAGACAGATATGAAATACACTGCTATGCGTCTGTCTCAGAAAGTCTCCCTCATCCTGCTTATCTACAGGAAGGAGGCAATGTCCAGGGTGACCTTGGAAGGTGCTGGGCGCAGGTCCCTGAATGAACCCACAACTTAATTGGCAGAGATATATTGATTGTATGAAACTTTGGGAGTTGATTTGTAATAGCAGAGTTGTGTTAATTTCTATGTTATTTATCCAGTGTTGGCGGCCCACTTCTCTTAGGGTCTGGAGATATAACAGCAACATAGTCAGACTCTCCTGATTGTCTCCCTCCAGCACATCTTGGAGAGCAGAAAGCAGATAGCTAGATGTTGTGTCCAGAGGCAGCAAAGACTGGGAAAACACAGGCCAGGCTTATAACAGAGTTGCTGGGTAGGGCCATGGCCAGCAAGCTGGTAGGTTCTGAGCCAGAGCAGGTAAGCATCCTGGGTGACGCAGAGATAGCCCATTTCCCCCAGCAGCCTCCTGGGGCACAGGCACAGCCTGTCCCAGATGGCCGTGTGGGTAGCTAGCAAAGATCAAAGGCAAACATTACCCTGCTGTCTGGGATACAGGCGGCCTTGGACTAGAGTGGGCTCTACAGACACTACAAGCCCAGGCTTATGTGAGCCGGGATGCTCAGATGCTGGCACTCAGCCCTCCAGCTGTTCACGCCTTTCCCGAGTGTTGTGTCCTGGCCTTACAGGACGACAACCCCAGTGTACTAGTTTATCTTCTGGGTGTACTGTACCACTCCTCATGGCCTGAACAGCCAGTGGCTCAGCCCATGGCTAAGGCCCTGCAGATCTCTTGTCCTTTGAGTGACAGGAGCTCAGAGGTTGAAGGAGCTGCCTGGAGCTGTCCCAGTCTTCCACGTATGAAGAAGAAAACAAGGCTCCCAGACCACCCAAAGCTCCAGCTGTCCGGTCAGACTTTGGTCTCAGGACTTGTGTCTCCAGCTGGCTTCTCTGATGCCCTCGCCATGTGGCCTCTATCCACGGCACTCTCCTGCAGCTGTGGCTCCATCCTAGCCAGCCTGTGAGTGAGGTCCGGCTGGGGGCTGTTCCTGCGTCAGCCCTTCCTGTGGCAGCTGGGATGTCCTGCGACTCCCAGGAGGCACAGGGAGAGGATGTTTGCGCAGAGTGTGGTGAGTAAACAGTCCACAGGACCCGAGCACCTGCCTGAGTGTCTTTCCGCACTTGCTTCACGTTTTGCTGGTTGGCTCAGCGCTGCAGCTCCCGGATGTGTACATAGCTGCACAGGCCAGAGGCACTTCCCGTTAGCCCTCTGAGGAAGTGGGGGCCTTGGGTCTGAGTGCGTGCGTGTTTGTGTTTGTATGTCTGCTCTGTGCATATATCTGTTTTTTCTGTCCATGTCTGGGCACATGCCTGCATGGGTAGTGTGTTCATGTGTGTATGTGTACACAGATTCTGTGTACCTGGGTGTGTGTGTGTATTTGGCTTAGGTGTGTGTGTGTGTGTGTGTGTGTGTGTGTGTGTGTGTGAGTTTATGAATGGCACATGGAGTTGCACGTGGAACCTGCACACAAGCATGCCAAATGTGTCTGGTCCTTTGCGGGGATGTGTGCCTGTATGTACGGGTGTAGCTGCTCTGGCTTACATAGGACTCAGTCCTGCCCCGCTTGGCCCAAAGTAGAGCACCGGGATCTTCCTTGTAGCCTTCCATCTGGCCTAACTTCCTGTCAGGTTGGGGCTTGAGGAGAGGATGGGGGCAGGGCTCCAGGGATGAGGCCAGGGTATTAAAGGGTCTTGTAGAGAGGTGTCCTGGACACCAGCCCCTCAAGTGGCTTCCCACTAGTGAAACTGATATGAAAGACTTGAGAAGGGGGCTGAGGGTGTCTGCAGGGGGTCTCCAAGTTCTGTAAGGCTGCTCAGGGGCTGCTCTGTAATACATTTCTCCGAGGGTGAGCTGCGGTTATGCCCGTATATACGGTAAAAAGCCAAGCTCCTGGGCGGGCACTCGCAACTGGGTAACTGGAAAGGCAGAGACTGGGAGAGATGACGCATTAGCCTGGAGTTTTGTCCTCATGGGCGGGGTTGGAGAAAGAAGAGCAAACAGGGTTTCATCTCTTGTATGGGGTGGGGGGATGAGCAGGGGTCCCAAGGAAACACTCTGCAGGTCCTCTGGCCTTCTAAAAGCATGTTCCCACCCCATGCAGGTGGAGACTTGGCTGTAGCACTGTTGGTTTTGCTTCTTGGAAGCTGCTGAATGGCAGGTGACCTTGTTCTGGGCAGTCACTGACTTTCCTGCTTGCCTTAGCTTGCTTCAGTCCCCCCTCAACATCCCCACATGCCAAGGCCTAAGTGTGTGCTTAATAAAATGCTGCACATGTGTCGATAGAGGTAGCTTGCTTCATATGTGAACCGTCCTGGGTTTGGTCCCCAGCGCTCAAACAAAAACAAAAATGCTATGTGTCTAGAGCTGACAGAGCAGGCCGAGATGCCAAGTCGAAGTCAGTCAGAGTCCTTGCTCCATGTAAGCAAAATTGTCTGTCTAAGTTACTTTTAAGTTGCTGGGTCCTTAATCCTTTGGCCAACAACAGAAACAGAAGTTTCTTCATTTGTTTGTTTGTTTTCAAGTGGAGGAACCAAGTTAAATGCCTCAGGCAACCAACAAAGCCAGGGTGTGGTGGAGAGGGTCCTCCAGACCCTGGGTTCCCTTATCTCCACGAAGCCTGCCATGAGGAGGGCCCTACTAATACCTACCCCAGTGGGCTGCATCCCTGCAACCCATGGACTTCCTAGGTGATCCCTGCATCCCATTGGTTTCCTAGGTGATTACAGAGATGTGGATTCAGGGGAGCCCACCTGTGCCCTTCACTGAGCTTTGCCAGCTGACAGCTCCTGAGGGGTCAAGCTGGTGGCAGTAAGTCTGACCTCTCAAACCTGCCTCCAGGCTTGCCCAGAGCAGGTCTGTGCCTTCATCCATACAGCATTTCGTTAATGTTCCTGACCACTGGTCAACCCAGCAGCTTCCAGACATCACCTAGAGGGTGACAGCCCATGGAGAGATCTATAAGACAGCTGGGCTGCAACTGAGCCTCCACGGAAAGGGACGGGACCTATGTCAGCCAGTGAATACTCCTAAGAAGGCTGTTTCAGGTGCTTTGAGCTGCATGTTTTGGTGCAGGGCCACCTAGGTGTTCCAAATTGGACCCAGAGAGCTGGCAGCTGGTTCTAGCCCACAACTGTTTCTCCCTTCTGCTTTTACTCACATCGTCCCTGATTCCCTCACAGTAAACACTTAAGGTTTCAGGAACATCAGGATCCTCTTATCTCAGTGGCTTAGGTCCTACAGTGATGAGAGAATGGCATAGCTTGGGCACAGTTACTCTGTGATCACCCATCACGGTGCCTGCCTCTCCGTCACAGATGCAGACACAGGCTGAGGGAAAGCCTCAAGAGCAGATTCTCTACATTAGCTTTCTCAAGCTTAGGGTTTCTGAGCAGAGGTGCTTGTCAAAGGTCTGATGGTCTCTGGGGCATTTTGTGAGGAATTCTGGGATTGCTAGGCAGTGGTTTGGGAACTTGGATCTACTTTTTCACAAGTGCAGGCTGGGTGTGGAACCACCCGAGAATGCTAATTCCACTCTAATCAGATGCAATTCCATAGAATACTCCCTTAATGAGGGTTAATGACCTTAATTACTGCCCCCTTCACTTAGAGCATGCTCAAGAGGGGCTAATTGCTACATGATGGCCTGGGAATAACTTCAGACCCTGGCAGAACTGCAGAGGAGAGTGTCCCCTCTCCTCACCCACCCCTTCACCCTTCCCCCAACTCCCGCCCCGTCACCTTGCTTCCTTTTCTCACAAGAGGTTTCTGTGCCTCCTGGGTTCACTGTCAGGGAGGGCCCAGGCTGGGTCCTAAGTGTGATTTCAGGCAAGTCCCTCAAGTTTGACAACTGTGGCTGCTCTGTGGAATATGGCAGCATAGACTTCCCACAAGGCCTGAGTGATAGTATTCTCCTCTGTGCCCCTAACCCCTGAAAAGGGGGCAACGTGGAATCCAAGGAGACTGGGCCACCCAGAATTTTCTCCTCTAAGAATTCATCTGGGACAGCTGTACTTTCTGGTGTGCACAGACCATGTCCACGGCTTAAGGGTCAGTTTGTGTCTCTGTGCCTGCTCCTTTGTGCTGTGCAGCACGCGGCGACTCAGACTGAGACACGTGTGGCTGGAGAACACTGAGCTGCTGGTCTTCCTGTGTGTCACGGGCCATGCTGCTGGCTCCTGGAGAGCCTGTGTTTGGCCTTAACTGTGTGTGTGCGCGCATGTGTTTCTGTGTAGGTATAAACAAGTGAGTGTGATGCCTTCAGAGGCCAGAGAGGATGTTGGCTTCCCCGGAGTTGGTATTAGGAATATTTGTGAGCTCTGGTAACCTAGCCCAGGACTTCTGCAAGCATATACACACTCTCAACCATCTTTCCAGTTCCTACCCCATTTTTGTGATGTGGTTTTTGCCGAGTCTTTGGCCTACAGAGGTCAGGTAGCTTCTAGGAGCCAGTGGTCTGTGCAGTGGTCCAAACATCACGTGGGGCTGCCAGACGCTCTCTGAGCCTCACCTAAATGCTAGGAAACCGCAGACTCCACAGTGAAGTTCTTGCTTAGCTCCAGCGACCAAATTACGAAGTCGGTTCAAGGATAACAGCTTTATTTTATTTATGTGATATTCATTACTACAGCAAATAATTAATTTGTTAAAATACGTGCAACAAAATATACAGTGCATATGGGTTAATAAACAGCTAGCATGCCAACAATACAATTATGGTGCTCTCGTTCCAGGAGAGACCTCCCTATACGCTGTAATCGTGGCCCTAATACTGACAAGTGTGAAAACTGGGGAGAATGTGGGGCATGTGGGAAAGCAAACTTGAATTATAGACAGACTTTGCATGAGTTAAGGAACAGTGGCAAGCAGTAGAAATGGCTGTAAAGGACATCTCGCTTGGTGTTCAGCCTCCTAAAGGATAACCAAGAAAACACAGTGGTTAGTGCAGTTCCTGGGGTGGCTGCTTGCATCTCTGCTTCTCCATGGGCTTCCCAGGTGGGCAGGGGTGAGCCTCTCCCCGGTGAGGTGGGGGCCATCGCCATCTCAAAGATGCTCAGGGTTGCTTCTGAGGAAGACATTACTTCCTTTTCTCCTTTTTCACTTTCTTGTTTCCCTTTTCCTTTTCCTTTTCTTTGTTGCCAACCGTTAGTGACAACATTCGCTTTCTTCCCAGGGGGGTTTTGGCATACCAGTTCTGAAATGACAGGGTGTAAGAAATGGTCAAACAACGTGAGTGTACTGATGTCATCCTGGCACTAAAGATGCATCTGCTAAGAAGGGGACGATAAGTGGCCGCTAGACACTGGGCATTTGATGTGCTCGGTACAAATGTCTCCTTGAATTTCCAGCTTGTGTTTCTGTGACTTTAAACGTGACCTCTGGTAGCTAGTGGTGTTCGGGAACCACACACCAAGTCCTATGCCTAACTAAGAGTGCCTGAGGGAGTGGCTTTCCCGGGAACGGGAAGGCTTCTGGCTCACATGCTGGCGTAGGTAGCTCAGTCGGCAGACATGTGTGGCCACAGGTGACCACTCAGCGTCCTTGGGAGATGCTGCAGAAAACATGGCACTGATGGTATTCTATCTGAAACCTGAGATGAAGCCGAGAAACCTTTCAACTTATAATCTTACTGATAATCTCAGCAAATGATCATACTACATGCTATTTATCAGTTTTCTCACAAGTCAGTTAAAAAAGATTCTCCCTCCCTCCTCTGCCTTTCTCTTTTTCTTGTGTGTGTGTGTATGTGTGTGTGTGTGTGTGCGCACACACATGCATGTACTTGTGCATGCGTGCACCCACACGTGTGTGCAGATATCTAGGGAGGCCAGAAGAGGGCACCAGATCCCTTAGAGCTGGAATAACAGAGGTTGTACCTTGCTTGATGTGGATGCTGGGAACCCAGCTAGGCATGGTTTGACTTGCTGTACCAGGTTGCTCTCTGTGAGCTGACGACTATTTCAGTCATTTGTATCAAGATGTCTTTGTTTCCTCTTGTCACTTGGGTGCCAGTTTAGCTGGATATAAATATTAGCTAGATGATCATTTTCGCCAGCACTCTGAAGGTGTAAGTCACTGTTTTCTGGTGTCTTTTGCTGTCAATGAGACCCTTGGTTGCCCATGGTGCTTCTTTGGGGAAATCTGATAGCTGTTAAGCTTGGTTTGTTATCTTGTTTTTATACTTGTAGTAACTGACAAAAATAGATTTGCTCCTATTTGTCTAGCTGGTTGCCTGGAATTTATTTTTAACCTGATACCTTGTGCTTTTAATTTGGGAAATTTCTTTGCAAGTATTACTTTAGACTTAACTTGTGGGTTTCTGGTTTCTTCTTCTGGGAATTCTGTTAGTTAAAGGTCAATTCCTTTCAACTTGTCTTCTGCAGATTTGAATTTTACTTTTTATAGATTTTATCTGTTTTGTTTTTCTATGATGCTTTCTTGGGGGAATTCCTCAGGGCCAATTTCCAATTCTGTGATTTGCTCTTTGACCATTAGTTTAGAGTTCACACTTCTCTTAGTTTTTGCCATTTAATTAACTATTATGTTTTTTCATTTGTTATGCATTTTCATTTGTTAAGCATTTTATTATGCTTTTTTTGTAGTTTTAAAAGATATTATCTCTTATTATTTAATTTGGTTTTTTTTTCTGTTTCAAAAGTACATTTCTAGTGGAAGTCCTGTTTTCACTTATTTTTCTTGGACATGCAATTATTTGTATTCAAAGCATTTTGTCATATTATTCTTTTAAAATTTTTAAAATTATTTTTTGAGATTGTACTATAATGACATCATTTACACACTTTCCCTATTTTCAAGGCTTCCTATATACCCCTCTTGCTTGCTCTTTTTCCGTTTCATGGTCTCTTTTTTAATGAATTGTTTTACATAAACACTGTATTTTCTACAGTGTTTTCCTGTTCTAGTTTTCACATTTGTTCTAATGGTCTGTGGTTCTCTGTCCATCTGCAGGCTAGGCTTCGTCTCTCTCTCTCTCTCTCTCTTTCTTCTTCTTCTTCTTCTTCTTCTTCTTCTTCTTCTTCTTCTTCTT